ACCCCCTCTTTCCTCTCACAGGTAGCCCTGGCCTGGAGGCACTGAAAGCTGATGGCAGAACGATAGCCATGGGTAGCACGAAGAAAAAGGAGGTGCTAAGGAACGTGTCAAGGGCAACAGCCGAGCCGCCCACCTGCGAGGACAGGAAAGGGAAGGTCCCTCTCGTCCCCAGAGCGGTATCCCCTCCCGGCAGTGACGCGGATGCCAAAATGAAGCAGACGATCACCAGGAGACCTGCAGGGAGATGCCTGGCTCCCACCAGTGGGGTGGCTGCACCCAAGGATGGGGACAGGTCCTCCTGGGGTGCTGGTGCCTGGAGGCCACCTGCACTGCAAGGACCCTCCGAGGATGGTGCTCAGGGTGGAGAACAGCGGTGGGGCGCACGACCCCAAGATGCTCCAGGGCCGTGAGCAGGGATGGCTGGCGTGGTACCCTGGCCCCTGGCGTCCTACTCCCACCTCCATCCACAACTGGCTGGGCCGCCACTGGTGAACTGGGAGGGCATGACTGGAGTCCTGGCGGAGCTGGAGGGATGGAGCAGGGTTTGGACCCGCAAAAGGAGCGTGGACATGGCCACGCCACCGACCTCAGCCTTAGAGAAAGGCTGGCTACTGCAGGGATGATTTACCATGTCCCCTCCTCTCTCCTCTAACTCGCCCCTCCTGCTTTGTACACATTGTTCCCAATAAACATACCTTCCTCCTGGTTTTTAATCTTTATACAGAGACTTAACGCAACATTAAGGATCAAGGGAATCGCAACATCTCTAGTTACAGGACTGATTTTTTTTGTTGTTTTAAATGAAGACATTTTAAAAACATTACAAATTTACCTTTATAAGGAGCTGCTGCCTTCTGGTTATGTGGTTTGTTTTTTTTTTTAAATATAGAGTAATTTATATTTGTCTTTTTATTTAAACTCACGGCTTCACCTGTTTACTATGCTGGACCAAGGCAGCGGGAGCAATGCTGTTCGGACTGAGAGTTTCAGTCCCGATCATAGCTGAAAAAGGCTGCAAGAAAGATTTAAAGACTCTTGAAGAAAACCAAACCACTTTACAACACAGATCCCAGCTGTCCCAAAGGAGAACACACTGGGGGACAGCCTTGATGGAGATGTGGCAACCCCGGCATGAGCGGAGGGGCAGGAGAGGGGAGCGATGCTGCAAGACCTTGGAAGGAGAGATCGTTTCCATCCTGCAGGCACTGAAAGGTCGGTGGGCGTCCCAGGAGGGGTCCCGACAGCCAAGGACGGACAGCCTCCCCTTCGCCTGGTCTGCAGCAGTGGTACACAGCAGAGGCCTTACAAACTCAACACTCAGGTGTTTTTCCAGCTGATGCAGGGCATGGAGGAACAAAATGAGGATTTTTTTTTTTTATTTCACTAACAGGAAATATTTATTTAAACTAAGAAAACAGAAAAAAGGAAAAAAAAAAAAGTCTATCCAAAGTGTACCATAGACTCTTTTTTTTAGCTGAAAGGTGTGTTTGCCAGCTGTTGCCGGGTGGTGGCAGCGTGTGCTGCTGCCGTGTTTCCTGCAGGTGCCTTTCTGGTTTTCCACTGGGATGTACTGGCTGCGCGGGGGACAGGGAAGGGGAGGACTGCTGTTTTCCTCACTCTCCCTTGCCACGCTGCAGCTGTGCATAGCGTTGTAAAGCGATTCGGAAAGCAGTATTTGTTAATATTGTAATTTTTATATATATATATATATACATATATATATATAAAGGGTTCCAGGGAAGAAAGTTCCTTCACTTTATTTAATATTTTGTAAGAATATGAATTTTAAGAGGTGCCTCGCCTGATTAAAGGCTTTGGCTCGTTTTCAAACATGCTGTGCTTTGGTCTCTGCTGTCCCAAATCAGCACCCAGCATCTCCCAGCCAGCTGGGCGGACCAAACCCCACTGGTGATGCACTTGCAACAAGCCATGAGCAACGTGCTCAGCCCCTCCATCCCGTCATCGGAGGGCTGGATCCAGCATCCGACCCGCCGCCAGTGCCCAGGGGTGCAGGGAGCCCCGTGGGTCACCTGTCGGTAAGGGAGCACATCCCAGCGCCCATGAGGGGTACGTCCTGAGCCCCCCGGGTGACAGCCCAGGAGGAGGGTGCTGGTTGAGGTTTCCGTGCGTCAGAAACAGGGCAGGAGAGCTGTGGGGTGCAGTGGGGCTGACACTGGTCCCCCGGTGCTCTTCCACCTGCTGCTGGGGTGATGCATCCCAGGCTGATTCAGCAAGGACCCCTGAGACATCCTAACCTTGCGAGTCCCCATCAGAAGCACAAAATCTGCCTGCTCTCGAGAGCCAAACACCCGAAGCCACGTTTTTCAGCCCAAATTACTCTTGCCCAGTAGGGGAACAGCACTGCCACAACCCGCTCCCCACAAATAGGGCATTTTGAGGAGGATCCATGGTGTTTGGGGCCGATGCTTGGGGAACAACCTGCCTGGAGAAAGAGGCACACACACTCCTTCCTCTGCCAAGGGCTTAATGAGTAACAGAGGGAAGCTAGGACCCCTCCAGCAGGGAGGGAGCTTCACCTGGGGGAGCACAAATTAGTTTGTGTGCTAATTGGGAGCAGCTGGAATGGAGCCACCCCCCTGGGAAATGAAATAAAAGGGCAGGGCTGGGGTGGGGGCTTGGTGCTCTCTTCTCCTTGGGTGTTACCAGGTAAGAGGTGCTGGTGGGGTGAAGTCTTGCTGTCCCAGACAAGGTGGATGCTTTGGGCAGGGAATGTGGTAATGTCTGAGGCTGGCTACAGCCCTGCTCTGCACCAGGAGCCTCCCTGCCTACTCCTGGGAGATGCTGATGCTTGGTGTGAACTTTGCTGAGCTGGAGAAGCTGCTCAATGCTGCTGGAGACTAGGGAGATGTTTTGACATGGGCCCTCCTGGCTCTGGTGTGTGGGATGCTCTGGGGATAGGCTAGCCACTGTTGCTGGGGGGGGGGGAGCTTGGAGGGGCCTAGCCTAAAG